TAAATAAATTGAATTTTGGTCAAATAATCACAATCATCTACAGTTAGGGAAGCAAGAAGCAGAGTAAGATAAAAACAAAAATCAGTATCTGATAGGACGTGGAATGTATATATGAGAAGAAAGCTAACAGTAAGCCTGAAAATTGAACATATATGCTTGAGATCAAGAGCTGAATGCACCTGAGTAGGAGTAAATCTAACTGAATTTTGTTTAGGCTGGTCTTGAGGATAAGGACCTGGATCTGGAGGAGTATATGCCTCAATGACTAGTGTTTCTTTCTGATTATTAGTATCAGCGGTATTGATACCATTTGTTGCACCAGCAGTTGACATAGCATTCCCAATAAGAGATCCATTGCTTGGTTTGAGTGTTCTCGGAAGCTTGATCTTAAAAGGAGGCCTTGGATTCAAATTTTCTGTGCCATTGGAATTAATGAAAAACACCTGAAGGATAGAGTGAGAGGAAATCCCATAAGCACCAAAATTTCATACAAGAATTCCAAATGAAAAACATCAACCACACCCATGCAACAAAAATTTTATGAATTTGAAAACAAAATACTCACCTCATAATCCACAAAACTTTCTTTCAAGTGATCAGCATCAACAAAAGTATCTTTGAAATCTACTGTCTCTAATAGATCAGGCATATTAGTCCACTGTGCAGCAGAAGGATCCCCATAACCAAGAAAAATATTTTCCAACCACTTAGGAACAATACAGTATTCATTCATTAAATCCCTTATTGATTCTAAGATGGCTTTAAAATTGTTTTCTTTTGGCTTCCTCCTCATCAACACATTAAATGTACCATAAACATCTTCTGCCCCTTTCTCGGCAATGTTACTTACATCCATGTGATATTGTGCTGTATCCAAAGCCACAGTTACTGTTCTCAGTTCCCCTTTTGGTGGTTTCCACTCATCACGTTTAATCCTTCCAGAAAAATCATTCATAAGGTTTCCTTCCTCATCCCGAATCTCAATAACTTCACATCCACGTACATATTGTAGGCCAAGCTTCTGTGGAACACTAGCCTTGTCTTCTTCTTCAGCTCTAAGAGGCTCAAATGAAGGGCGAATAGATAGTAAAAACAATACATCATGTTCTTTGAGTGCATCCCATTCTGATCTAATCTGTGCTCTGTAGCTGGAAATACTATAAGTAACTTCTGCAGTCACAGATGATGGTTTGACTTCTCCAATGTTAGGTTGTTTAACTTCAGAAATTTTGAATTCTTTGATTGGCACTCCCATTCTTGACCAACCACGAAAAGCAGTTTCTCCATCATTATTAATATATGCAAGAAGATGTGGAACAGCTTCCTGAATGTCTTCACGTATCTCATATGTTGATTCAAGTCTAAAAAGATTAAAATTTCGAAGAAGATAATCATGAAGTGTTAAGAACTGTAAGTTCAGCTTTGGCAATGCTAAACAGCCTTCTCCTGAGTAATTTATGCTAGGTACAACACTTTCATCCCACATAATCTGCTCATTTGGGTAAAGGGGAAGAGCATTAATAGCTTCTTTTTGAGATTGTTGCTTCTCAAAATAGGATACCATTACTTCAATAAGAAAATCAACCCTCTCTGACCAGGGGTCTTCCTTGGAGACCAGTTTGAGCTGCATAATAAAACGATATCAAAAAACAAAGTATGTGCTATTGAAAACCAACACATGGTGCATTCTTGCAAACATTAAAATTCCATTTCTAAAATTAATCAACATAACTGATGCATGAAAAAATGGAAACACGTACATTAAAACATAAGTTAACCCCACTACAATACAGTAAATATAACAAAAGATCACTTCTCCTTATGATCATAAACAGAGGAAGCCAGTACGCATTTCAAGAAAGAGGGCTAAGCAAGCTTTTACATTCAGGAGGAGCTCATAAATATCTGGACAAGATAAAAATGACAACTATATTGGAAACTATATAAGATAAAAAAATACCGCAAAACTGAAAAAAAAAAAAGAGAAAGTGATATGAAATAAGAAAGGAAGAAAAAGAAGTGAACTCTTTAAGTGAAAATAACTATAATCGTTTGCAATAGTGATAAAGATTAACAACCAATTCTAACTCTCAACATTCATAAGCGGTACAGGAAAATTGAAGACCCAAAATAAATATTATGAGAAATAGAAGAGCCATGTTATTCTATAAGCACACCTTACAGCAAACAAACTCCCGTAACTCCTCTGGAGAAAGAACAGACAATTTCTTGGACAGATTAGCACGTTTGTGAATAGAACCAATGTTAGTCAAAGCAAGTTCCCGAAGCTACAACCAGAAAAAAAAATTATGAAATCTTGTACAAAAACATGAAATTAAGCGAAGGTAGAATAAAGAATGACATGATATTAAAGTAATACATATAGTAGAGTAGGATTTTAGTATATTGTAATCATTTAGATTAAATTATATCTAAGCTCTCACCTTTTCCATCTTTTTAAATGCAAGAAGCTGGAAAGACTGCAATCGACTGTAATGAGTTTCAAGAACCTCATGATCTGTTAACTGTGTTCCTGTATGATCATTAATCTCAAACCCTTCATAGAATTGCAGCAAATCAACCAACTGGGCAAAAAGTTTCCCTTTTTCATGCCTATAGAGTGCACTTAAATGACATTTGGCAACTACAGCTACATCAGCCACCAGAGGCCTCAAATACCTACGAATCAGAATTAGAGTCAGAAAATATTTGATCTGTAAGACTAGACACCTCCAAGCATTTAAGAAAGAATTGAATCCATTTTAAGTTTAACCACAACTGCCAGGAAGGAATAAAAATTTGCCAATTTAAATCATGGAAGTAACTTAGATATCATTCACAACACTAGCAAAATATATAAGTAAAACTTAAAATATATCATTTGCAGTATTAAACAAAACAACATAGCCCTTAAACAAAAAACACTACAGATAGTCAAAACAAAATACCTCCTTGTTGGTAATTGACTCAAGAGGTCAATTAGAAACTCCATAAACCTCTCACAGTACAGGACACAAGCATCATTAACAAGCCCGGAACCAGTACCATCGAGAATTTCATCGTCCCCACCAGAAAACTGTTTCTGGGGAAATACCTGTGAATCCAGTATCTAAAAAGAAATACAACAAACAGAAATTCAGCATAATACATTTAAATAAAAATATTTTGTTACAGTGGAAAACATTACACATTGTAGTGTACATTCAAACTTTTTAACAAACAAGACCTCAAGAAATTCTTCTATGAGGTTTCTCACGAACATCACTTCAACTGTAGTTGAGGGATCTAAATGTGATCCACCTCCTTTCACAGGCTCCTTCTTTATCATCCTTTTCCATTTCTTGATCAAACCAGGATTAAGACAAAGCTCCATCTACATAGGTGAAGACCAACGTCCCAAAAAAATGGCATTTAGCATGCAAGCAATAATATTTAACATTAATCATAAAATTAAGAATATGACTAACAAGGTAATGTTTCATCAACAAATAACTTGATTTTTATTCAATCTTACCTGAAAACGACCATAAGATAAACTGTGCCAAGATTTCAAACTTGCTAGTCTCAATATTGTCCTGCTAACAACCTCATCTTCCAAACTCTGCAATGCAAAGTAATAGCTTAGCTACATTTAACAATGATCTAACGGCCTATTAGGTTTATTATAACTATTACAGTTATAATGGGAAAGAAGGATGTATGGAACAGAATAATATGACCATTCCTAGAATCACTCTTGTTAGGCATGTTCAATATTGATTAACCATTTTCTTTCATTTCTGTTGGACTGCTTTATCAATTCTCCAAGTAGCACCAACTGACAATCATTAATAAGAAGCCAAATTGCAAACACGCTCATTCAGGATGGGATGATGGATTGCTACAGTACATGTACAGCAACAGAATTTGATGACTTGAGAATTTGGAAATTTTTCGTTATTTTCTTCCATGATTACAACTTTCGCCAAAATTAAAATCGGAAATGACGCACACCTATTATATGTCTCAAGGTTTAGGAGCTCTAGCAAAACAAAAGATATTTGAACAGTGCTGAAAACATAAAGACTGCGTAAAGCAGTAGTAACTCAACAACAATGTAAGCATCTACTTCAAGTTATGATATGCTTCCATACACAAAGTCAAATAAAAATACATGATTAAATTAAAGCCAACAAAAATTGTGCGTGATTTAATATAAGAGACAAGGCGCAGGTGCCCAAGTAAGCCTACCTGAAAGGCATTTATCATGAAAACTAGATAATTTGTCTTCTCTGCTATACTCAGTTCCCGTCCCTACAGTCAGATTAAACACAAGGCTTAGCAGCAGTGTCATAACTAACACGGGATTCTAATTGTAGAGTCAAATGTCACGGTTCACACAATGAAAAGGGGGTATGAAAACTGTAAAGCAAAGGATATATATATATATATATATAAAAACTTGAAAAGGGTCAAGGTTCAACCGTAACATCAAGGTTGTTGGACCTAAGTGTCAGAATTGCTGCAACAATTGTGGCTGTATTGACTACATTAGTGTGCAAGTTGCCACAATGTCAAGGACTGCATTGCAACGAGACTAGAAAACTCAACTGAACAAGAAGAATTGAAGCGACGGATACCTCCTTTAACCGAAGAACCCTCTCAAGAAAGCCTTTGAAAGCGTCTTTC